GTGAACATATAGGGCCTGGTCAAAAGCGTAGCGCCCTCCATTAAAAAAGGAAACACCCAGGACCCAATGTAGAGGGACCCCGAATGCCCGAGTGTGCCCGAGCAGGTTAACAAACTGGGCTTCCAATAAGAGCGTAAGGCCCTCCATTCGAATGGGAAGCACTGAAGATCTTAAGTAAGTGGCCCCAGAATGATGTAATGTGCCCGAGTAGCGTATCAGGAGCTCGACAAGAGCGCAGGGCCCTTCATTCAAATAAGAAGTACTCAAAACCCAGTGCGGAGGGCCCCCGAAAAATGGAGTATACCCGAGCAGATTATCAGATGACCTAGACAGGAGTGTAGGGTCCCAAATGCAAACACCAAGACCAAATATTTAGGGCCCTCGAACAATCCAATGTGGCCAAACCGGCGAACAGATGGGGTCCCCGACAAATGCGTAGGTCCCTCCATTCAGATAGGAAGTACCCAAGACACAATGTGGAGGCCCCCGAATATTCGAGTGTGCCCGAGCAAGTTAACAGATGGGGCTCCGGCAAGAGCCTAGGGCCTTCCGTTCAAATATGAATTAACCACGGCACGATGTAGAAGGCCCCGAATAACCGAGTACCAGAGCAGGTTAACAGATAGGGCTCCCAAAAAGAGCGGAGGGCACTCAATTAGAAAAGGAAATACCCAAAACCAGACGTGGAAGTCCCCCACGATCGAATGGGTCCGGGCATCTTATCAGATTGGGTCCCCGACAGAAGCTTAAGGCCCTCCATTCAAATAAGAAATACCTAAAACCCTATGCGGAGGGACCGGAAAGATGGAGTGTACCTGAACAGGTTATCAGATGACCCCGATACGGGCAGAGGGCGCTAAATTCAAACACTGAGAACCGATGTGCAGGGCCCACCAGCAATCCAGTGTGGGCGAGGAGGTGAACAGAGGGGCCCCCGATAATTGCGTAGGGCCCTATTCAAATAGCATGCGACTAAGGCCCAACATAGAGGGCCCCCGAACGATCGAATATGTCCGAGCAGGTTATCAGATAGCCCTTCCCCCGCCCTACAAAAGCGTTGGTCCCCCATTCAGAAAAGAAGTACCAAAAACCCGGTGTAGGCGGTCCCCAAACGACTGAGTTTGCCCAATCAGGCCACTAGATGGGCCCCCGATAAGAGTGTAGGGCTCTAAGCAAGTGACAGAGAATTGGAAACGCCCTAGACCAATGCAGAGGACCCATGGGCATATCGCAAGTGTGTCGGTAGGTTAACCGATACCCACGTAAAGGGCCCCTGGGCAACCGAGAGTACCCCGGCAGGTTAAGGTATGGGACTCTGGCTACTGCTCAAAGTGCCTTTCTGGTGAATGGAAATCATCCGTGGAAGGGCCCGTGATTGACAAGAGTTCCCCGACACGCTAACAGGAAGGGCCCCGACAACAGCGCAGGGCCCTCGGAGCAAATGCAAAGAAATGAAGGACAACGTGGAATACTCTTAAACGACCGAAATGAACTTGCAAGTGACATATAGGTCCCCGGAAACAGCATGGGGCCCTAGACGGTCTAATGGGGCTTAAAATTTCCAGTTCACAACTTTTCCAATCATTAAGTAATTTGTGGGACTCCTCATAGGCCCTTCACTTTCGCTTACTACTGTTCTTGATCGCCTGAAAGTCCAGAGATACCCAGTTTTGTTGCGTTTTGTGTTAAAAAAACTGCACCTGTTCGGCCGGCTGTCGGCCCCCCGGGACCAGTGGGCCCTTTCGTGGCCCAGGGGGGGGGACATGCCCCGTGGCCCTCCCCTCTGGACCCGCCCTGCTTGTTTCCGTATGTTTTGGGGGATGCGTTTGTTATTTTCCACTTTTTTGCCTCTTCCCCGAACTCAGTTTACCCTTCATGTCGGAATGTCGTGATGTCGGACTGTCTTGGAGTCACAGCCTTCAGACTCTGCTCCAGATCAAGGCGTGGCTGGAGATGTCTTCTCCTCAGGACCTTCTAGCCAGAGCGCAGCTGGAGATACCCGCCACATCTTCTCCGCAGACAGCTCCAGGCAGGGTGTGGCTACAGAGGCGCGCTCCGTTTTCTCCCCAGGAAGTTCTGGCCAGGGTGAGGCCGAGGGGGGCCGCCAGGTCCCTTTCGCTGGCAGTTCCGAACAGGTCTCTTTTGGTGCTGGTTCTGTCTGTGTCACAGATCGAGGCATGCGGAGGCGACTGGGGCATGCCACCGAACTGGAACATCTGAGGGAACCTGCCATGATCACCAAGAACAAGGGTCGACCGCGCGGAAGTACGGCAACGTCATCGAACTGCCAAAACTGAAACAGAGAACTCTGGAAACCTTCCCAGATCTGCTTTTCCACGAAGAATAGAATGTAAGTTACGCAGTTTCGCTGTTGATGGCTCATCGCACTTGCGATGAGGGCGATGCGACGACTTACAATTGGGACATTACATGTCAAGTGACGGTTTACACCTCTCTTTCGTTCCCTCGCTCTCTCACCCTCGCTCTCTCTATCGCCTAATCGCTCTCTATTGCTCTCTATCGCTCTATTGCTCTTTCGCCTTCTCTCTCTCTCTCTCTCTCTCTCTCTCTCTCTCTCTCTCTCTCTCTCTCTCTCTCTCTCTCTCTCTCTCTCTCTCTCTCTCTCTCTCTCTCTCTCTCTCTCTCTCTCTCTCTCTCTCTCTCTCTCTCTCTCTCTCTCTCTCTCCTTCTCTCGCCTTCTCTCTCTCCCTCCCCCCTCCCTCCCCTCCCTCCCTTTCTCTCCCTCCCTCCCCCTCTCTTTCTCTCTATGGTCGTCAACAGTGAGTGTATTACCAACAGTGCGGGCCAATCTGGGCTTCGAGTTGACCGGCACTCGCCTGCGAGCTTAAAACATAGCTGCGTCTTCGTCAGCGTATAAGGATTTATAAGGTTCTCCGGGACCTACAGCGGACAGAAAAGTGCGACGAAGCACCTGGTGAAGGCGTTTGCGAACTGTCGTGTCATCCCGACACCGTCCGGCACGAAGGCCCATTCATTCAACGGGAAACGGCCCATGTCACGATTCCTATGCATGCAATGCGCTTTGGCTTTAAAAGAGAAAGATTGAGCCGTGAAGAACAGGGGTCGCAACGTAGTGCACTGTAACCGGCAGTGAGATGAAACACAGTCGCACTTTTCGTGATACTTTTGGCACCATGTACTAAAAGTATGCACAGGTCCGAGGTCCCAAATTTCGTCGATAATAATTCTCCCGCGTCATTCCCAAGGGCAGCCCATTTTGAGGTGAAAGCCATTGAAACAGAAGCCCGCGCACGCTGCATGTCAGTGCACTGCTGCCTGCAAAAAATCAGAAACTAATGCTACAACGCAGCGAGGAAATCTAGTTCCACAATTTTACATGGGCTACTGGCTTCGTACGTTTTGGTCTTGGGTCATCTCTTCCACCGTAAGGTTCGCTTCTGCTATTATCTCGCGCGTTCCATAGTGCAAAATACATCTTACTGGTCCTTGTTGCAGCCATGCTACGCTGCATTCTCAAGAACTCATCGAAGGAAGGCCTGTTCGCTGAAGGGGACGTACGGGCCTGGGATGTCATCCACCTCGGCAGGCTGACAGCGAATCCAGATGTACTGCTATCTCTGGGACATTGCTTCACCGTATCTGCGTGGAAGATGCTCCTGGCTGGGGTGGACCAGTTCGATGAAGAATGTGATTGGTTGTGTGGTTGTGGGGAGGACCACCTGGTTGGTGCCTCCGTACAATGTGGTGTGTGTGTGAAATGTGGTTCAGCACGCGCAGTTCTGTTGGTTATGTTATGGGTATCGGTGCATGTATATGTTCACTGTGCAAGTAGCGGTAGTTTCTTCCAGAGCATAGGCTGCCTTGAGTGGCAAGAAGTTCAACCGTCTTCTTTTGGACTTGAGAGAATTGCTACATTATTTTACGCTGGCCATACCAGATGCAATACGATGACCTGCCCTAGCCGTCGGTAGGTCGTCATGGATCTGTGAATGCCATGGCAGCATGGGTGCACTTGTGTTTGGGGGCAGCGTATTGGTTAAGTATGCGTAGCTGTACAGAGGTACGTAATCCTTACACTAAAATCATGGAGAAAAACCTGTGCCTTTAACATTACCATCAGGTTAACAAATGGCTACCGCACACACAAACAGCACCGTGAACAATACACTTATTAAGCTTTCGTGCATACCAAACAAAAGCTTCACACACACCATAATTTCAGGCACAATCCCATCCATACACCGGGCTTGGCGCGTCGCAATCAACTCGTGAGTTAGTTATATTTCCAAACGGCGCAGCGGAACATGTTGAAACACTGCCGTAATTCACTGGGCTACAATACCACAGTGATCGGTTGATGTTTCTCACGCAAAGAACCGACTTCTCGCACGGGATTCTGCATTTCTGCACTTCGTTGCCTTCAAAGATGCCAATGCGCATAAGCTTGACACGTACAACCATCTGAAAGATTTTTGGAGGGTGTGTAAGCCCGGTGCGTAACCGCCCTCCGTTTTGGAGGGTGTATAGGCCCGGCGCGTAACCACCCTACGTTTTGGAGGGTGTATAAGCACAGCCATATATATCATACGACTTGTCTTGAGATGTAATGACCGAAAAGCAAAACTATTTTTGGAAGGGCCCCAAACTCCAGGGGGCCCCACAAAGTTGCGTGCCCCCCCCCCCCCCCTCTGACGAGAGCCTGGATCCGCCCCTGCGTCTTTCATATAATAACCAACACGGAGTCAAATTACATCCCCAAAATGTTTTTTTCGTTTTTTCCGCTCTTTGAAAGTCCTGAGCTATTTTAAAGAGGTTGCTAGTCTAGCTATTCTCAGACTATGAAGCCATGCTCTGGTCAAGCATGTCTCGTCCTTGAAAATAAGCATTTCCCTCTCTGACGATTTGAAAATGATGATTCATGTTACGTAATGATTACGTCAGCTCGCCAGTCCCACACCTGCACTTCACCTCAGCATTATCACTGGCTTGACTCGAGCTGCCATTACCGGCTGCGCCACCTTTGTAAAAGTTGTCCATACGTGTGTGGACACGTGTGGCAGGTCTGGGGAGCTGCGGCGGGCCGGTGGGAGACGTGGAAAAGGTTTTGCAGGAGGTTGAGTACTGGTGGTGGCATTTAATCTTCCCCACAGAGACATGCCCTGAGAAGCCTTGTGCAATCCCTCTGATATGCTGCGTCGTTATTCGTCCGGTTTTGCCAAGTCGGCCAAGACGCTTTCGTGGGCGGCTCGAGGTCTTTCATGGGTACTGCCTGTTTAATTTACTATAGGTTGTTGCTTGTGCTTTAATTTTCCTTTGCATCCACTCCCTTCCTGTTCATAAGTATGTGATCCGATTTGCAGCTTAGTATCTCTAGCAAACATCTGCCGAAGTCATATTTGTAGGCGTGTATCATCAACATATGTTTTTGTATGTAACAGTTGCGAGTAACAAGACAAAGATGTATGGTTGTGGACCAAAACATACTCACCATCCATTAAAACTAGTTGAGGTAGCAGCTGTGGCATATTTGATGGGGGACCAGGTGTCATTCTGCAAAAATGCACAATGTGGGTCATTGCCCACATACTCTTCTATGGTAAGATGTTGCAAACCTATCCCATATTATGCAGTGTGCTTGTACTTCTGTAAACTGAACACATGCCAGGCTGTATGATGCTGGGATTTTAAGCTATTTCTTTGCAGAACTTTTTGGAGCAAACTTGCCTGAAGTTGCATTGTGAAATCCTCATTTCTTGAGACATTGTATGTGTGCTGCAAGTTTCTACCAGAGGCTACACTAAGCATTGTTTGTGTGGAGAGTGATCACACCATCTAGTCATCGGATCCCATGTCATTAGCTAAATTTGGGGCTAATGCTTTGACATACTGTGATGCTTGTCAAAGTCCTTCCAACCCCTAGCATCACTTGGCCTTTAGCATCACTGTTGACACCAGCCATTCACCATCTCAGTCAGGGGAAATAGTAAGCACTTACAAGCTGTTAACCTTGACCTGCTACTTAAAAGTGGGTCATTCAGTTATTTTTTCAGCTGTGGCCTTTCCACATGTGATCTTGCATAAGCTTGCCCCTGTCTATCAATGCTAAATATTGTCAAGTATGTTTATGCAGTATATGCAACATGTTTCTTGGTTTTTAGTGTGATTAGTGGTCTTTTTAAATCTGCAATCTATGATTGATTATACCTGAGAATAAGTAATTCTGACACTCAATGAGTGTTTAATCAACACTTCCACAGCACTAGAACTGATGCTGTTGGTGTCATTATCAATGATATTTATGTAGGGAACAAGCTGTTCTACAGGCTTTATAAAGGCCTGGAGGCCTTTGGAAAGGTTTTTTAGATTCTGACTATTTTTTGGATGAGTTTGTTTATATGGCATGAAAACTACACTTGATAGGTTTTTTGGATGAGTTTGTTTGTATGGCATGAAAACTACACTTGGTGGGACCACTGAGCCTGCAATGAGTTGCAACTTGGTCAATGCACATGTTTTCCCCTATAAATCTACATCAGTCACGCTGCAAATAGGTCAATTACTGCAGCTCTTTGTCTTGCTCCGACCAAATAGAAGTAAACAGAATTAATTCTACACTAACCCAGCAAAAATTAGCACACTTAGTTGACTGTTCATCTGTAGTTGAACACAAGTGTGCTCTAAGCAGAGTTCTTCTTTTTTTGTGCCCAGATAAGCTTGGACAACATAATTGATGACATTAAATTGTTTCTTGCTAATTTCTGACCACTAAATAATAAAAGTGCCCCTTGTGTGTTGATTTCACTTGTTGACTTCATGTTAACAGTTATTATAAATGTGCTTCATGAAGAAAGTCAAATATGCACCAAACAATAATTGTATGCTATGTACAGCCTGGTGTGGTCCACGGTCCTGTGCCCATTATTTTTCTATATCACAGTGAGATAGTTTTGGGCATGGCATACTTGTTTTATAGTATTTTAGCATCTGTGCTGTCTCTGCGCCAAATTGTGAATTAGGCTTCAGAGGTCATTTATTTGACAGATTCAGGGCCCTCAGAGCAAGTCAAAAGTGTGCCCTGTCAAGACAGGTCAAAGAGCACCCCCACAAATCTCAGTTATGAAGGGTTTCCCAGGAATAGTAGCCAGTAGATAGTGTCCAGAAAGGGGGACAGATTTTTTTGTATGTAGAAAGTTGTAGTGTCTCCTGTTGTGAACAGCATCTGTCTGTTGCCTTTTGCTGGCATTTATGCTGTAATCTTTCTGAAATGGTTCAGACCAGCTTTACCATGAACCTTATGAAACACAAAACACATGGGACATGCTGCAAAGTTTGGTGATAGTTCGGGATGTAGTGTTATGGTGAGTTCGGTTGAACAAAGTGAGTATGTGGTAACAAATGCATTATTTACATGCACGTAGAATGAAAAGAGGTGTTTTTGCATCATAGCTGTAATCTTTTTGTCTGTGTGTCCATTCACGACCAATATGTGAATGGTTGATGGCCAATACATTTACACAGTAGCAGGTTGCATGGAAATACTAAAACATGTGACATTGGCTTCCATTCCTTTTACCATATATGCAAGCATTAACAGCTAGTTCTCCACTTTGCAGTCTGTATTGCATTAGATGGAAACATGCAGCAATTCTTAGACAACCTAGACAAGCTATTGGAAGAGCGAAGTTATGTTGACGGCTTTTGCGCGTCCTCCCTGGACCAGTCTCTGTTCAAGCTTGTCACAAAGCCAGATGCCGGGAAATACCCGCACGTCGGGCGCTGGCATCGGCACATTGAGGGTCTGGTCAAACTAGGGACGCCGTTCGTGGCGTCCGCCAGGTCGCTGCACGAGTGCGGCATCGACGCCCCGCAGGCGGCGCCGGGAGCGCCAGAGGTGGGTGGAGAGGGCGCTGTCGTGGCCTGGGGCTTGATAGATGGCGCTACCGGTGTTTTTCGGTGGTCTGGCCGGCAGCACTGTCTGCTCCCAACGCTGGGCGGCGTTCTGCTGCAGGCGTCAGGGTGTATTGCACGTGGTTTGTGCTCACGAGACTCTGACGCTGTTATGCTAGTGAGCAGTCAAGTACTAGCACCTCACCGGCCCCTCTTACTCACATTCGCAGCATCTGCTGAGCCCAGTCATAACCCATTTGTGTTCCCTCCTTCCATGCAGGCATGAGGATTACGCGAGCTATGCCTATTGCCTATGGGATGGATGTTTTCTTAGCTACTTCATGAAGCCTAGTATGTCTCGATTGATCACTTGTGATCGATCGCGAAAAGGCCACTAACTAGTGACGCCTGCGCACTTCTGGGTAGACCCAGCGCTAGTTTTGTGAAGCTGTGATAACGAGAGATATGAACGAGCGCTGTGTACTCTGAATGACGTAGCCACGGCGTTTAGGCGGTTTCAAGGCCAGGAGGCCTGGATTCGATTCCCAATTCGCGCTTACCGCGCTTTTTGCGCTGTGCTGGATCTCATAAACTGACGTGATGCGTTTTGAGCCTGCCAATTCATACATGTGCTTGCATTGGTTGATAATTATTTGGTTATTGGGGTGATGCTTAAATGTGGATCTTGACAATTCAGGTTTTTTCCTTGGTCTTGTTTTTTGTTTACTTTTCACATCACCTGGGATGCTCTGTATATGATTTGATAGATAAGGACTGGTATCTCTTCCATTCCGTGGTGGTAGCAGGAGCAAAAGAATCTTTGCACCTGTTTGATGCTATTTAAGAGTCCATGAGCCTCAGTAAGGCATATGAGGAACAAGTTTTTAACCATGCATGCTTTTATTTATTTAGGTTAATTGTAGTGCAGTCATAAAAAATCTAGTTAAATCCAGTAGGTTTTGCTACCCGTAGCGAGTAGCTGTTGAGAATAGCAAGTAGAACGTGGACGAGGGTCTTTGCCTGAACATCATGAAATTGTGTGCTGAGGAGGAATTGTCTATTCAGGAAGGACTTGATGCTTTGCTATAAACTCGCAACATTTTTGTACCTGTTGTGTTCAGTGTTGTTTTCTTGTGCATGACATTATTACAACCTCACCCACTGTGTTTATCATTATCACGTGATACTATACCTTTGCCTTTGCCAAACATCTCTTTGTGCTCGTGCTTTTTGCGGCTGTAGCTTGCAAGAAGCTCATTGTAATTGATAAAGTGGACTACTTACTAGTGAACCCAGGATGATATCTTGGCGGTTGTGTGTTTTTAATATGCTTATAATGCTTTGTGTGCTTTATGTATATGTGCCCTGACTTAATGTGACAGCACTTGATGTTTCGGAAAAGCAAGGGTCCTTCATTGCATACAGGTGGAGAACATTCAAGCTAGGTTGTCGGTTTGCAAAGATAAGTATCCTGCCTGAGCCGCCTACTTTTGACGAGGCCCCTACCATCTTTTACAGAGAGCAAGGTCAAAAATGAAGGACAAGAAGGGTGCAGTAGGCGATAAAGGGAAAGGAGTTGCAGCAAAGGAGCTTAGTCCATGGCCAGGCTATATTCAGGTGATGCCAATTTAGAAGCTTGTTAAAATATTCTGTTTCCGTATTCGTGTTCAGGCGCTAGGCTTGGATAAAGACTATGCTTATTTTACTCTGTTATCCATGGTAACATAGTGGTAAGTCTGCCCTGTGTGAAATATTTTAGCTCTACATTACCATTTCCTTTAACTTTTTAGGGATGACATGACACAGATGAAACCCAATGGAGCAAAAAGGGCAGGTTGTTGTTAACAGGCTTTTTTATTAGCCCACATTTGGAAAAGGCCTTTCTCACACCTCGTCGCCGGTACGCCTCACGCCCCCGCTGACTCGTGTCACGCCACTCGTTGACCGCCGCCTTGTCGTGGACAGGAGCGGCTGTCGCTGTGGGACCGGCTGAAAGCCAAGGCTGATGCCGAGCTGGCGGCCAAGACGCCCGAGCCGATCAGTGTCACCCTGCCCGACGGCAGGGTGGTGGAGGCGCAGTCGTGGCGTACCACACCCTACGACGTAGCCAAGGGCATCAGGTGCGGAGCGGCTGGCGGCCGTGGCACTCCTCGGGGCGGGAGCGGGACCGGATGGCGTTAAACCATGTTGGGAAGCACGTGCCTCCGTAATCTACTTTTTGTCAGTTCACATGAGCTTTTAGGCCTCGTTTTGGGTGACTGTGTGAACTGTATTGTACTGTATTGTGTTGTTGGAGGTGTCGTGTAGGCCGTGCAGTTCGTGCGTTCTCCAGCTGCAAGTGTTCTGGCAGCTTCTGACCATCCTGTGTGCTTCAGCCAAGGTCTGGCCGACAACACGGTAATCGCCAAGGTGAATGGAGAGCTTTGGGACCTGGACCGGCCGCTGGAGGGCGATGCCTCGCTGCAGTTGCTGAAGTTCGACTCGGACGAGGGTGAGAGTCACGCTGGCGGGCCGTGCAGGGCCGCTGGCTTCTCACTTCTGACTGGTGCTTGCTTGGACTGCCATTAGCCGGCGAAGCGACTAGTGACTAGATGGCGGTACGTCTGTTGTAGTTTTGATGTTTGTGTGCACGTGTTTGTAATCGTGACTGTAGGTGCCAGTAGTGTAGCGGTTAGCGCGTCTGCGTTGGCTTCTGCGCGTCTGGGAAACCAGAGGTACGGGGTTCGATTCCCCGCGGTGCCTGCCCTTCCTGCCAGGGTGAGAGGCAGGCGACGCCATATAGCCTCAGCAGCTGAGTGCGTCGTAAAGCCCCAATGACACACAATCGTGATTGTACGGTCTTTGATTAAACCAGCCAGTGACTGTCAAAACCGGACTTCTCTTTTGCTGACAGCCTATTTTGTTTCGCGTTAATTTGTCATTGTCGCTGTCTGCCGTCACCTTCGCCGCTGGATCCTAACGCTTGCCTCGACACTTGGCCAGGCAAGTATGTGTTCTGGCACTCGACTGCGCACGTGCTGGGCGAGGCGATGGAGCGCGTGTACGGCGGCTGTCTCTGCTACGGTCCGCCCATCGAGGAGGGCTTCTACTACGACATGCACCTAGAGGACGGCCAGGTGGGTCCGCCGGTGCGGCCGGCTACGCTGCGGGGCCGGGCCACGCCGGCAGTCAGCTGACAGCTGAGGGAGAAGCTCTGTGTGCGTGCTGTGCGCGGGTGATGCCGACGGTTGTGGGTAAAGCTAGCTGGCGGTCAGCGTGCCTGTAGACTCAGTTGAATTTTCACACTGGTGGCGCAGTAGATATAAAGAGGACGTTTGTGCAAGGGGTGTGTATGCTGACGATAAGTGAGATGAGATGAGCCATTTGTTTTGAGCATGCAATGTGATGAGCTCCATCATCAACACATGAAGGAAGCATGCTTGTAAAACGCTCACCCAGATAAGCTGCGGCTGACTGACCGGGCCCGGCTGACTCGGACTCCGCTCTCCTGCCGCAGGTGAGCAGTCAGGACTTTGACTCACTGGAGACGGTGATGAAATCGGCCATCAAGGAGAAGCAACAGTTCGAGCGGCTGGAGATCTCCAAGGAGGACCTGCTGAAGATGTTCCGCTACAATAAGTTCAAGGTGCGCATCCTCCAGGAGCGCGTGCAGACGCCGACCACCACGGCGTACCGGTGCGGCCCGCTGATCGATCTGTGTCGCGGCCCGCACGTGCGTCACACCGGCAAGATCAAGGCCTTCAAGGTCACCAAGGTGAGCCGCGGGAGGGCATCGGGGGGGGGGGGGGGGGCGAGGGGCAAGGATGGATGCGGTCCCCGCCGGGCTGCGTCGTTGGCGGGCTTTGGTGAGGCGTGACTCTGAGCGTCCTTGTTAGAGTGGCCACTGGGGTGAGCGTGTGTGGGGAACCGCCGCGGGGCCGTTGCGTGGAACGAGAACATCGGCGTCCCGCGCGGTGAACGGTTCGTTTATGGTTTAGGTCATTCAACAAGTTGTACCAGAATGGCAACATATGTTGTGGTGCGACACGATGCAGTAAAAATACGCCAGGATTTAACAATATATCTTAAATTCCTCGCTTCATTGTTGAAAACAGGTTGCAGTGCCCTTTGGTTGTTAATGTAACGTACGTATCGAGAGCTTACGCTACCAAGCTCTTGACTGGTGTTGTTTCATACCTACAGCCCATTTGCATCCTTATGAACTGTCTGAAGCAATGCGCCCCACGTCCGCCAAACTTACGGCACCGGCTGTTCCCCTGGCCTTCGCACCTTTTTCCACGCCGGGCGTCGCTTTGTCATCGGTGCCGTTCTTTTTCGTTCGCTGATCGCAATCCCCTCCTATCGCGGTGTCTGCCGCCCCGGGACCAGAGCCGGTGACCCCTGCTGACCTGTCCGGGCCGCCGGCAGAACTCGGCCACCTACTGGGAGGGTCGGGCCGATGCCGAGTCGCTGCAGCGTGTCTACGGCATCTCGTTCCCGGACACCAAGCAGCTGAAGGAGTGGCAGCATTTCCAGGAGGAGGCGGCCAAGCGTGACCACCGCAAGCTGGGCCGGGTGAGTGCCGACGGAGGGGCGGCGCCGAACGGCCGGACGCCGGCGGCGGCGGTGGGCTGGCCAGCGCCGGGCGCGGTGACCACTATGGTCAGTGGCAAGCACATGGCCATCATGTGAAGTACACAGGGATGCTGGAGATTGTGCCTGACTGAACAACCGACGGAAGTTAATCATTAAATTGTCAAAGGTGTCAGTTTGGTATCAGGGGTCCCAAAAGCACGACATTGGAGATGTTAGTTTCATTTACTCCGTGACATTATGCGTCCTCAATTTCTGCAGTTGTCGAGGTTGAGCTTGTGTTATTTGGGAGCAGCTCTGGCACCAGCGACTGATACGTGGGACATCGGTGGTCAAACCCAACTGGTACTTACCAAGTCAATTATGGTATGCCCTTATCATTTTCGGTGCTGAGAATATCCATCTTAGTCCTCATCATGTAGGTCAGTTATCAGTCAGTCCTCATCATGCAGGTATTATAGTTAAGTCATGAGTTTAGTTAAGTTATTGGTCTAGTTCAGATGTGTGCTGCGCTGCGCCAAGTTTATGTTACAGGTTTTAGTTGCATGTCACGTGCGTGGCGTACTCTAGCCATACTGTCAGCGTACTTATACTGCCAGCCTCGATATTTCGAATGTTCTCCGTCCGGCTGCAACAGGTTGTGTGATCTCATATCCTTGATTTGGTATGCACGAGAAACGGTGGCCTTGACATTTCAAATGCTTGGGGTACTGAATTATCTTTATCGACTAAGCACGAGCGCTTGTCGGTTACCGCTGTGCAGATCCGTAAATGGGACTTTTTGTCCGCTTGCACATGGGTTTCCCTGCTGCAGTTTCAGCTGAGCGAAGGAAGTTGAAAAGAGACTGCATGTTGTTTGCGTAGGTTGAAGTTCTCCTATGGCCCACAATGTGCCTTCTATGCACCACAGATAATCTCTCGCTCCCGCTGATCCGCCTGTTGCCAAGTGAAATCTGTCCCAAATCAGCACCTGCTGCAGGCGCCCCATCCCTCCCCCCATAAACTGCAGAGTCGCCACCTCGCCGGCCGCGCCAATCAACGCCGCCGCTTGCCGCCACCGTGGGAGGGGCGCGCGTCAGCGCGTGTCATCTGTTGGCCCGCATCGCGCCTCGCGCCGGGCCGCGAGGCGCCCACTCTGGCCGAGACCATGGTCTGCTGCCACCGATGCGGGGAGGGCAGGGGAGGAGGGGGTCGCGCCAGGCCAGGCGACCTACTGTCTCCTCCGAGAATGCATGGTCTGCTGGCAGCAGGCGCACTCGGCCCTTCTTGCTATCGCAGGCGGACTTCCGGGAACGGTGAGGCGCAGGGATTTGGCGGTGACGTGGTGACTGTTTTCGTTTGCGTCACTTGACGAGTGGGGGGAACAGTGGGTCTCCGAAGCCACGGTAATGGATGGTCCAACTGTGGGTGTTCATGGTGTAAATTTGTGCTTATTCCTGTTGTAGGTGCGTGGCCGAGGGAATATTTGCGCTATGCGAGGGAGGAGCCACAGTGTAATTTGATTAGTTTTGTCATATGTTCAGACATAGACGTAGAGAATGGAACGGAACCCCTGTAATGAGTTACGTGTATTAAACCTCTGCGTGGAGTTGATTTATCAGATGCTCCTTTTGATCGCTGCCCCGGAATTTTGTGATCATTGTCGAAATTTGTTTCCGTTGCGTTGGTTTTAGTCATATTTTACAGTGCCTGTACAAGTCACTTTCTTATTGGACTCAGCTCAACGTTCTTGCTTCAGTTGTCCACAAAAAACTCCGTTTTGATGTTGGACATCATTTGTTCAATACTTTGAGGCGTGGCATAACCTCGAAGCTGAACCGCTTATCGGCCAGTACTACGACCTGTAGCATGGCTGTACCAGGGTATTGGCGATGCCATGGCGGCGGGCTGAACGTGCTCGGCGTTCGGCTGGGAGACTCTCTCTTGACAGGCCCATCAGTGCTGTGTTTGTTTTCGGTCGGAGCGCGCGACCTCTTGACCACACGGCTGTCCTGCTACCACCGCGGTGCTGGCCGCGTGCGCCGCTAGTAGCGACGCGCGCGTGCCGCGGCTGTTGACCCCGCGTGGCCGGCCGCTGCCGTCGCTGGGGCGGCGTCGGCGAGCGCGCGAAGGTGGCCCGCTGTCCCAGTCAGCCGCCAGTGCGGCGGGTCCACGCCGGCCGCCGCCCGGCAACCGAGGACCGGCCGTCGTGTGACGCAACACAGCGTGTGCGGGGCGCGCAGACGACAGCTGATCGCCTGCCGCGTCCAGCACCGGCCCGGGAGTGAAGCGCGCGGATGAGGGACCGGCCCACGCCCGGACCGCCCGTCGGCGGTGATGGGGCGCTGGTGCATGTATCGCACATGGCATCCGCCTGCACAGCGTGATATGTTCTCGGACGCTGGGGAGTCGGTTATCCTTCGACTCGTCGCGGGTCGATCGCGGTGTAGGGGGGCGCTGGCAGGCGGGCGGGCGGGCGCCAGCCACCCGACCGGCGAAATCCCGCACCTCTAGCGGGCGTTGCACCAGCGAGTCCGCCGCACCCGTGGCGAGTGTGCCGCGCGTCCCTAGTGGTGAGAGGTGGAGCGCTGCGCGCGGCTCTCAGCGGCGCGGAACGAGCCCGCTCCGCCGGGCAGCGGCTACCGGGCATGGCCTGATGTCAGGTTTCGTTGTCCCGCTGGGATTTCACGATGAGGGCCCCGACGAGCTGCGCCGTCTCTTCCGCCTGGCTCGGGTACGGTGGTGCCGGTGACCTGCCGGCGCATCGGTGTCCGCTGTGTGGCGGGTGGTTTCAGTGCGACCGTAAACGGCTCGTGTTTCGACGTGGTGCCCTGGTGCCGACGACGCGACGCTGTCTCGAAGGCCGAGTATAAGTATGGGTGGGTTTGTTTCGGCCCACCGCTGCTGTAGTCTCCGAGTGGCATGTGCTGGCGTTTTGTTGGTGTCGTCAGCTATGTTACCTCGTTTCAGCATTTGCGACGGTCAGGGCAGCGTCGACCGTCGGTTGAGCCCCCGCCGTACCATCTTCCGGTGCGCGGCACGGCTGTCTGACTGGCCCGTGGCCACGTGCTCGGCGCGTGATGATGCGATCTTGTGCACCAGATCAGGGGCCTGTTTTCCCAGACGGGTGTACCCGCCATAAGCCGGGCTGCTATGAGCTCGAGGTAGCAACAGCCTCGACACGCTCGTGTGTAGGGGCGCCTCTCAACGCCCCTGTGCGGGCTGGGGGGAGAGGGGGTCCAACAGGTGTGCCGGGCCGCGTCCCCCTCCCCCACCTTCTGTCGCGGCATAAAAAAACGGAGAAGTCTCGGTGCGAAAGCAACGCCCAAATCGGCAGAGCGATACTGACGCTGGTTTATTCTTGCATTTGACACTGGTAAGATAATTGTTGGAAACCGGCGCTGATAAAAATGCGCCGGCTGTGAGATTTCAAGACACCTTCATGTGGGCGGACGAGATGCGGTGTCTGAATCCGATAAGGATCCCATATCCAATCATCGCTGTCTCGTATTATCTTTTACAGTACTCTCAATCTTCCGTCAACTATTGCTCCCCGATGTCCGTCAGTTGCGTGACCCGCCCTTCCCAGAGCAGGTGGAGCCGGTTGTGGGCGCCGACCGGTCTTACGCTGATCGCGGCCCTGGGCACACCTGGCGGAGGCGCTGCACGTGCTGGGCGGGAGACGCAAGCGTCTGTGTGCCCAGGTGGCGCTCCGATTCCGCTGTAGGGGCAGGCCACGCCCGCATCCAGCTGGCCCAGTGTCGGCGTAGTTTGGGGTCGGCGAGGCAAGGGTGACGCGGCTGACTCGAGACCGAGCGCGGGCGGTGACCCGTGTGACACGAGCGGGGGTGGGGAGAACGTGGTCAGGTGCTGAGGCGCCCGCTTGTCCGCCCCAGTGTCCGTGTCAGCCGTGACGGGGCAGCCGCTTTGTCGCGACCTAGGCGTAGGGTCACAGTGTTTGGGGAAGGAGGGGAGAAATGCGGCATGACCGGGCGGGTCATCTCAGTTGGGGGTGCCGGGCCGACCCGAGCGTCGGTTCACAGTGTTCGGAGAAAGAGGGGAGAGATGGCGGCATGACTGGGCAGGTCATCTCAGCTGGGGGGTGCCGGGCCGACCCGAGCGTGAGTTCACAGTGTTCGGAGAAAGAGAGAAGAGATGGCGGCATGACTGGGCAGGTCATCTCAGCTGGAGGCGCTGGGCCGACCCAGGCGCTGGGTCACAGTGTTCGGAGAAAGAGGGGAGAGATGGCGCCATGACTGGGCAGGTCATCCTAGTTGGGGGCGCCGGGCCGGCGCGGGCGTGAGGTCACAGTGTTCGGAGAAAAAAAGGGAGAGATGGCGCCATGACCAGGCGGGGGTCATCTCAGTTGTGGATGCCGGCCCGGAATGAGCCGGATACGGGCGTGTCCGGCGTCTAATGGATGGGAATGCAGTCTAGTTACTCCCCACCGTTTAGTGTACACTGGGTATTGCGGTCATGACCGTCCATGCGAGAAGTCGGGCACCGGCTGGCTCCCCGATCGATGTGTATGTCTCGAAATACTGGAATGCTATTTCGGGATTTATATCACCATTATGTTGCTGCAAGCAGTTCGTTGGTTGTTGAATATTCCTGAAAATCACGTGACCGCATGGACGTAGAATGAAGTGGAATAGTTTGTTATCCACTACATACGTTGTACTTGAAATCGACAAGGGTCAAAAGTGACGAATAACGCTTAGAACAAAGTCCGTGCGTGAGTTTCAAGCGCGCGCCATGTGTTGGGTTATTTTTTTCATAGATATCTGTAGAAAGGCCGAATTTCGCATCGTATGGTACATGCGTATTTCTAAGAACGGAACAAGCGCGGCCCTCGAAAACCGCCGCCTGGCACGCATGCCCGAGTGACTTCGATACATCCTAGCGGACGGGCCATCGATCCTCTGGCTGTACAGCAGTATGCAGCTGATCTGCATTCGCATCTCGCACCTGGTTGCCGTGTCCGCCTCGTCTGTCGTTGGAATACGAAATGGTACCGACACTCTGTGGCAGACGTGCTGCATTCAGATGCGGTCCTCAGCTATGTATTTTAGCTTATTTGCGGCCAACTTGTCGCTGAACCTGGCCCTGCGGTGTCACTGTGTCGGTGGCAAGGATGGGCGCTCACCCGGCCCTGCGGCGTCACTGTGTCGGTGGCGAGGGCCGGCGCCCACCCGGCCCTGCGGCGTCACTGTCGGTGGCAAAGGCCGGCGCCCACCCGGCCCTGTGGCGTCACTGTGTCGGTGGCAAGGACGGGCGCCCACCCGGCCCTGTGGCGTCACTGTGTCGGTGGCAAGGACGGGCGCCCACCCGGCCCTGCGGCGTCACTGTCGGTGGCAAAGGCCGGCGCCCACCCGGCCCTGCGGCGTCACTGTCGGTGGCAAGGGCCGGCGCCCACCCGGCTTGGCGGTGTCACTGTGCCGGTGGCAAGGGCGGCGCCCAAATTATGCGTGCCGCTATCGAAATCGGTGTGATTCTAACTTTGCACAATGTAGTTTTATCTCGTGCTTGTTTTAAGTTCGACCTGGTTTTGGGAGACTTGCTATGTTCATCTAGTGGCAGTGTTCGAAGTTCCCCGAAAAAATTCCTGGTAGCGGAGTAAAAATTTTCTATAGTGGAGTACAAAATTATCCAAGTGGCGTGGGTCATTACAGTTTTATTTAGGTTATCTTTAAGTCTTGCGTAATTTTGTTAAAACAATGTTAGTTTTTATTATATATTAAAAATTTGGAATGCATGTAAAACACTTTAAATGAAAGGAAACATCAGTATTAAACATGGCACGCTGAAACGGCACAATCTCACCCTGTTCTATGAAACACATGTGCATATACATGGGCTTGCAAGTTATGAAAGGCTATGTGTATACACCCTCCAAAATAAAGGGTAATTACGCATCGGGCTTATACACTCTCCAAAATGGCGGGTGGCTACACACCGGACTTATACATCCGCCAAAATGGAGGATGGGTGGGATACGCACTGCCAGAGAAAAATGGAACACAAAAAATGCAAATGAACATGCCACGGACGGCCACCTGCTCATGATCCACCACGATCACGCTACTCACGCTCCACCACGGCCACGCTACTCACGCTCCACCAGTTAACTGGTTTTAGAAACAGCTAAACATTCATGCCCTCCACCTTTCAACTCCCGGTCAACACACGAGGCCCCGCACATCCCACCCGAACAATAGAGACAGGCGGCACTCTTAACCGATTTACCGAGCCAGCACAAGTACGATGCCTGACAGACCCGTGCAGTCCGGCCAAAAGTGATCGGAGTCAGTCATTCCGCTGACTCCGGCGGATAATGCAATGTATTAATGGACTTTGATGCGCTTTAACATACATTGCGGAATTTGATAATTTATGTCGGAATTAATTGATAATTGATCCTTATAAACCATTCTCCTTAATTTGCCGCGCCAAAGTTATGGGTTCATGCTACTCTGGTGTCCTGGTGTTTTTGCCGGAGTGAGATGGCTGTCTCTGAACAGTTTTGTGGATGTTTATAGCAACGTTTTTTGACTTAAAAGTGTATTTTTGTAAAGCCTGAACTACCAGCTTTAACTCCACACCCTCAAGCGAAAAATTTAACTTGGTTTAAATCCACAGCTGCCGTAACATTTTTGTACTCCGGATGTCAAGAAGCGGCCAAAAATCCAACCACATGGCGGTTCTGGATGAGTACAAATAAGTCCTTCTTCATAATTGTCATGTCCATCTATAGAGCTTCCCTCCAAGTGTTTACAAATACGTTCAATGCATGAGCGCGGGCAGAATATTTATGCCCTAGACAAATCAGTCACGAGGAGGCGAATCATTAAAACCAATTCGAGAGTTTTGCTATGTTCAACCTCCAACCTGAGCTGGGAGCCGGGCGCAAGCCGCTGAATAGTTGAGACGTTTCCGACGCTGAATTGCGAGTGATTCTCTTATTTGCATTGCCATGACACAGGGTAGCGCGTGAGTAGGCGGCTGTCTGTGGTAGGTGATAGGGCGTGCGGTTTTCTTTGACTGTTCGTCGCATCCTTGGCAATTAATGCGTTTCGTCGTCAATGGTAGGTTAAGGCATGTTCAGGTTTGAGTTGGTCTGCGTAGGGAATAGGAAATGAGAGCTTCGCTAGTCTACAGACCGGTACGATTCGGGTACTCGTTTCTCAGTTCCCGGTATTGTTTAACGGCATTTTTCCCCATTGAACATTCACACACTTTATTTTTCACATTTCCATACATGATTTGCCGTATACCTAGGTGGCAACACAGACTGCTCGATATTGGGCGTCTTAATCTGGTGGATGCAAGACTTCTGCTCTTGCAGATATCAATACATGGCTCCTGATCGAAGCAGCAAATCACAAGCTGTTGCAACTTCTGTTTTTTTTTTGTTCTGACGAAGGTAAAATGAGTTTGCAAAAGCCGTTTTTGTTGCATCATGATGGAGTACAACATATTTAACTTTATCTAGCCTCGATCCTGCAGTACATCTCCTGGTATACATTATACCAGGAAACATAAAGTTTTCCAACACTCTAGTGGTGCAATCATTGTGGTACTTGTGGTTCTTACGTTGATATGAATTACGTTACCTTGCAAGAGTGGGGTTTGCCATCACATTGGATCCATTCGCCCCATTTACTACACACAAAAACATGAAATTCATGTCCCTGTGGTAACCACGATTTCGTACCCGTCCCTGGTCATTTGCCGCACGCGTATCTGTTTAGCCCGATTCGACGTGTAGCTGCGGTGCCGCTTCGCCGCACCTGAGCACCCATGCAGCCAGCGCACTGTCCCGCTCCGTATCTCACCGCTTACCCGCGCCGTTCGCAGGAGCAGGAGCTGTTCTTCTTCCACGAGCTGTCGCCCGGCTCGTGCTTCTTCCAGCCGCGTGGTGCGCACATCTACAACACGCTGGTGGAGTTCATCCGGACCGAGTACCGCAAGCGCGGCTTCCAGGAGGTCGTGTCGCCCAACATCTACAACGTCCGGTTGTGGGAGACGTCGGCCCACTGGCAGCACTACGCCGTGAGTGGGCGTCGACCGGGGGTGTCGCAGGGGCGCGGTGACGAGAGTGGCGCTCGTGCGCTGGCTCGGTGTACAGTGGATTGGTTTGTTTGTGACGGGCAGGCGGGCGGACCTAAATGTCAGATGCGGCGAATGCTGATGGGTCTGCAGAAGACGTGCTGGGGAATCGGTCGCTGCGGGAAAATCCTTGGCCGTCTTCCGTTCAACAACTGCTTGTGAAGGAGGGTGCGGCGGCCTTCCTTGCTGTTGGATCGACTTTGGACGTCTGGAAATAGCTTGGTTATGGACGTGGTTACGTTGCTTGCATACTATCTGGTGTGCGGAGTGTTGCTTGACTGTAAACCTTTAAAGGGACGTGTGTTTATTCGTTAACGGCAGCGTGATTCACTGTCTCGTGAAATCTGTTTCGACCACATGATTTCGTCATGAATTCCTGACCGGTCTTCAGTTTGTTTACGTAGTTCCTCGCATTTGTGACGTGCCAGGCATGGCAAACGTATGCACTGGCACATGAAATTGACGATTTAATTGAGGTCGTTCACCTAACGAAGCCGCTAAACGCCCAGGTGTTTAGTAGCCGCACAGACCAAAGCATTACCTAACCGTTGTGTGCCCGAATATGCAGGGAGAGGAAGCATACCCCTCTGCACTTTGCTGGCTTCCCACGCAACCAACGCTCCCGAAAACCCCAGTCAACACCGGAGCATGTCTTTGGAGTTCATGCGCTGGCTCCGTACTCCTCCACTGACTCCTTGGCTTCGCCTCGCTCAACCCGCAGGAGAACATGTTCTCGTTCGAGGTGGAGAAGGAGAAGTACGCGCTGAAGCCGATGAATTGCCCGGGCCACTGCCTCATCTTCGACCACCGGCCGCGCTCGTGGCGCGAGCTGCCGCTGCGGCTAGCCGACTTCGGCGTGCTGCACCGCAACGAACTGTCGGGCGCGTTGTCCGGCCTGACGCGCGTCAGACGCTTTCAGCAGGACGACGCGCACATCTTCTGCACCCACGACCAGGCGAGTCTGGAGCGTGGGCACCGCTGAGCACGGGGCGGGGCAGCCAGGGGCTCCACTCGGACGGACTCTTCGGACAATGCGGGACGATTCCGCCCGTAATGTTGTAGCATGCGCTGGGCTAGGGACACAAATCAGTGTTTTCCGTTTCGGAAGTCAAAAATTGTTTGGATTTGTTGGCAGTTACAGGGCATGGGGCGTTTTTGTGGCGCCCGACAGAAGCCTCAATGAAATCGTGAACACGTCATTGGAGGGGGTGGGGTGGGGGGGGGGGGGGGGAAGGGGGGTAGTAGTAGGTGGCAAGGCGGGTTGGTCCGTCGCACTCGCGTGATTCGAATTCACTGACGTCGCACCCGTGTCATACTGACCCCTCGCGTCGCCGGCAGATCAAGACGGAGGTGATGGGCGCGCTGGCCTTCCTGCGCGACGTCTACTCCTGCTTCGGCTTCACGTTCCAGCTGAACCTGAGCACCCGGCCGGAGAAGTTCCTCGGCGAGGTGGAGGTGAGTGACTGGCCGGCGGGCGTCACGCGGCCCGTTCAGGGCGCGGCCGCGCCGACACCTCGACGGCGGCGAGACGGAACAGACGCCCTGCCGACATGTGGACAGCTGCCGCACCGACAGCGTCGGTAAATGTGAAAATAATGCCTCAGCGTAGGTAGGTAAGCGCGTTTTGCTGTGGAGTTATACCGTGTGGCTTGTTTTGCTATTCTGAGCGAGGGTTTTCCAAGATATTGCGTATGCAACTAGGTTGTTGCTCACTCGTTACTGAGATTTGCTTGGAACCTTAACGCTCGGCTTTCTATGCTGCGTCCGTGATTGGCGGCGGCTTTGGTGATACTGCGTAAAAAGGCTGTAAAAAGACGGATAAGGGCGAAGGATTACGGTGAAATGTTGTTGGTGCCCCTTCTCGGAAGGCTATAACGTCCCGTGGTCAAAACGTCCAGAATCGCAGCATCCATTGTTCACAACATCCAGCAACCGTCCAATGCGCCTGGACAGAGGAGAATCAGAAAGTCCAGACTCGCAGCGTCCAGAACCGCAGCGTTCAGTGTTCATAAAGTCTAGTGTTCATTAAGTCCAGCGTGCGTGAGATCCACGGGTTGGAATAGGGTCCCACTTCCTCGCAACCCGTAGCATAACCTAATGGTTCGGATATTGTCCGACAGAGGGCTACCGTAGCCGATTTCGCCCGCATCAGCCGACGAGTGAAGTCAATGCGGTACAGTGCTGCCCAGTTAAACCACTGCGGATGGATATGGACAACGTTTTGTTTGAGCACACAAACTTTGCCGCGTCATTTTGGCGAAGTTTGGCAGCAGGCGCATTCAAAATTTCAAAAGTTTGGTCCCTGCTCGTGGCATCGGAAATAGCTGGTTAGGCGGTAGCTGCAAGGTAATCGTGGAAAGCACTTGTCGGGGTGCCTGCTGTTTGGTATTGCGAGACATGGATTAAATTTTCCACGGTGTTTGGTTCCGTTATTTACTGTATGTATTGGCGATGTTCCGCAACTCATTTTTTGAAGGAAGTGATGACTGACGTGTAAGGCTGACTGATTTGATGTCTGCTCCAGGTGGGCGCGCATGTAGATTTCCAGCTCTCGGAACGCCAACCCATATTGTAGTGATTTTATTTGGCTGTTTCCCCTGCCTCCCCCTCCAATTGCAATTTTTCACACGCTCCTGCAAACGAGACTTATTCTGAATTCTGCATGCCTCTACTCTCAAAGAGAGGGGTAAGGGACTGTCTCATCAGCTGAATCCGGATACTACTCCCTGGTGAAACACGCTCAATGGACCAGCCTACAAACAATTCGTTTCTGTAATTAGGTACGTTTTAGACTGGGCGCGGTTTCCCAAAACAAGTTGGTTGGCTGAGCGATGAAAATACAACGAAGAGTACCGTGATGATATGCCAACAAATTGGTTTCTCTCCAAATTTGGCTCACTTCTTCACAAATTGGCAGGCTGCAACCCAAGTTACGGAGGGATGAAACCTCTGCAACTGAATAGGGAACCTCACTCCTGTAGCCTTTCTCACAAAGAGTTGTTACAAATAGTTTGTATTTGTAAGTTGTAATTTAGAATGTACAAACTACAACTTCCGACTGTTTCATAAAACTAGCGAAGGTTGTAGAATTCTGGTTGTAAAATTATGCGCCGTGTGTAATTTCTCAACGCCAATCACCGGCCTTGCCAAGGACGTAAAAAAAGTACGCCTGACCGTTTTTTAGCACCCCATACGCCCAACGCTGACGTGACGTCACTGGAGTCTTGCCACAGCGAGAGCAGCGCGCAAGCCCGCACGACGCATATTACGATCTGGATATCTGCGTTTCCGTTGGTTACAGCTGCATTGCATGCCAAATTTGCTGGGAAAGCCACCCTTTTTTTCTTCCGTCACTAAAAATAGGTTGCGTTATCAAACGATTAGTTCAGTGTAAATTCGGTAAACCTAACCTAAATTACATCGCCCATACTGAGCGAGACGTTGGCGTCAAGGCATACAGTCAGGCTCACGCAGTCGGGCTCGCCGTTCTCGCTGTCCCCGCTCCTTCCGGTGCCGGTTTCTGTGTCACCCATGTGCACGTGCCCGGGGTCGCACTCAGAATCCTGGTGGAGCACGAGTGACACAGGGCTTTATGGAAGGCCCCTAGTTAAATTTCTTAAGTTTTGAGCGCGCCTCAAATTTTCCGTTTCTTTCGTTTCTGTTTTTATCCACTTATTCCGACGGGCGTGTTAATGAAGGGGCCATGGAATGAGCACTGACCCCACATACTTGTTTCGTTTAGGCGGCGTCGTCAGTGAAACACTGGGGGCCACAGAATACTTATGGTGCGACATTCTGGTGGCACGGGCGCCGGGCCTCATGATCGATTCAGAAGCCCTCTGAAGAAACGCTGGTCCACTTTATGACTCCGGCCGTCCTCCGACGGGAGCAGTGCGACTCGGAGTAGAGGATTTCGGTGACGCACAATAATTTCTTGCAGGTACAGGGGATCTACTAAATGACACAGGGATCATTTTTGATAAAATCGGGCCCCTGGACAAAACGGAGCCAGGTCGTTTGTTGATTAATGGGCCCACTGTCCGACACATAACCATTCAATTGCGTTAATCAATGCGGGCCCTGTTATTACCCTATTTCCTATCCCCTTTATTGTCGGGGTACCCAACAATGCAAGAAGCCCGCTGACATTCCAGGTCCCGTCATTGTCCCTTTCTGGCAAACTGGCCCGCCGCCGACTCGGATTCCCTTGCTGACACAGGATCCCTTGTCTGGCACTGTGGCCTATGCTAAAACACAGTGGCTCTTGTTCATCTGTGCTTACCTAGCCTCCGCGCGTACTTGCCATTAGTTCATACCAATAGCAGGGGCACAATCAATATTTTCTTAAGAGGGTGGGGGCAGGCCGCAGCGATAACGCATCAAGACAATTTTAAATTTTCTTCTAAGAGCGCTGTGGTAAATATGAAGACCTGTGGGCAGAATGGAGCGCCCCTTGACTGTGCTCCTCCAAAACAATCAAACTGCAGCGACAGCAGGGTTTGAAGACTATGATCTTGTAGGCAGGAGTCGGTTTGTCCCCTTTGTGAGTTTGTGAGGGCCCTCGTTTGACACCCGTCTACCTTATTTGGTTGCTCCCTTCACAAATTTTTTGACCTCAATGCTACAAAATCTCAGGAAAATATAAATATCACAGGGATCTTCTTCAGACATGACCAGCGGTTGATGACCGTTCTACTAAGATAAAGGACTACTCCGAGCCAACAACTTGAAAGAACTGCCGTACATCAAAATCGAGTGGCCTAAGAGCCGGTGAGAAATGTATTTAGAGCGAGGTTTATTTATAAATACCGCGTTTTTTCATAGTTCCTCACTAGGGCGTAATGTCGATGAATAATTTGTTGGGGGAGGGCGGGAAATGGCTCACCCTATCACAAAATATGCATTTCACCTAGGTCCTAGGTCATCCCCAATGATTTAGAAAAGCTGACGCCCCTGCTTGCAGGATAAAAGAAACACTAACCGAACCAGTACGACTTTGCTTGCTACCTCCAATCAAAGCTCTATTAATTGCCTTGCCTCCAATCGCTTTGAATGCTGCATCTACCCTACGTTTCCGCTACGCCACCACGATCGAGACAGCAGCGGCGGGGCCTATGACACAGGGCACCAGTGACGTCATTGCCCTGTGCTGAGTCGCACGGTATTCCACCAGTGGGAAATCCAACAATGCCCCCCCCCCCCCCCGTCTAGTGTTTCATCCGCCAGCTGATGTTGCCAATGTCCGACGAGCGCACGAAAACAAATTATGCTATGGATAATCGCAAATACCGCGGTTTGCAAACAAAAACAAAATAAATGTATCGGAAAGGTCAAGGAGCAGAACATTAGGTTCCCCAATACCAGCAATCAAGTACATTTATTACGGTATTCGCCGTGCGTCTTACAATTTTAAGCAGAAGTAAACAAACAATATTGGCACCGTCATGGCGAACAGCGAAACGGTGACTCACTGAACCAGCATAATACTAGTGTTCTGTTACCATGATGGACACCTATGTTCCACTTACAGACATGGGATTCATGCATCGTGCACACCCGGCGATAGCTGTCCCTGGTTGGCGTCAACGTGAATGGCGTCGCATGTCCGCAGTTCGATAGGATGGCATGGCTGTTTTCACTTCCATGGGTAGAAACTACACTTAAAATTAAGACATTTCATAACCTATTTGTACATCCATTTCATCCCGGCAGTGACTTGCATGCCAGTAGGCCTACTCACGGAAAATGACCACCTTCGTAACAGTACCCTCCCACCCCTGAAACGCGCGAGCACAAGGCAATGCAGGATTTCGGGCTTTTTTTACTTGGGTACCTGTATTGCCGGCGGTGGGGAGAGCTACGCTGGCTGCAGGGTTCCTGTACTGCCGTGATGGAGAAATGCTGTCAGGTGTCAGCCGACGTAGTGACGTCATTGAAAATGGGTTTCCATCGATCGGGGTTCTTTTGGGCCAACTGAAGGCTACAAGGCATTTGCTAGCGATATGATGTCACTGGTATTCGACTGGATATGTGACGTCACTGGTTGTGAGGCTTTAGGGATCTTTTGGGTGTAATGAATGCCGTAAAGCATCACCTGACGATATGTCGTCGCTGGCATTCAATGAAACATCAGGCGCAACAGGCCTTATTCCATCTCTACCTTTCGTACCTGTCTGCTGCAAGCATTTGCGTGTCGAATAAAAGCTTGACCGAATCACCTGAATGCGTGACGTCACTAATCATCACTTGATACGAGTGCACTTAGGCCCCACGGCCGCGGTGTATCATGTTCCGTGAAATATCACCAGGTATCGTGACGTCACTGATATTCGACTAAATATTGGTCGCAACAGGTCATGCTTCATTTTTACCTTCGTACCTGTCTACTGCAAGCACTGGCGTGATGAATAAAAGCTACCAAATCACGTGAGTGTGTGACGTCACTGGTCATGCAT